GGGCGGCCGCGGCTCCTTCACCAGCCTGGCGGTGGGAGTGTTCGTGGTGTACGTGGTGCACACCTGCTGGGTCATGTACGGCATCGTCTACACCCGCCCGTGCGCCGGCGACGCCAACTGCGTCCGGCCCTACCTGGCGCGGCGGCCCAAGCTGCAGGTGCGTCCCGCCCGCCTGCCACCGCGTCCCTGCGCCCGGGCGGAGCCCCCATCGCTCCTTCCCTCCCCGACTCCTCGGGCCTTGGCGGGGGTCGGCCGGGAGGCGGAGTCGGGGAGGGGGGCGTTGGGGTGAGGGGGCGCTGGGCGGCGGTGGGCGGCCGGCCCCTCGCGCTGACGCCCGGCCCTTGCAGCTGAGCGTGTACACCGCCACACGGTCCCACCTCGGTGCCGAGAACGGCGTCGACCTGGTCTTGAACGTGCAGGACTTCGACGTGGAGTCCAAGTTCGAGAGGTACGGGCGGGGGCTTCCGGTGGGAGCACTTCACTTGGCGAACTTGCAGGGGAGAGGGCTGGGACAGAGAACAGGACTTTACAGGAAGTCATAATTAAGTGACACGTAACATTAGAATAGATCTAAGTGTGCGAATATGTATAGTGACTGTCCACTGCTACACGTAAAACGTGGGTCTTTTAAACTTCTACGTGTAAAACGTGGGTCTGGTTCTCAACACTCGATATCAAGTACAGTTTTTAAGTGATTTGCTTGTCAAGGTGTTACATTTTCCCTCTCCATTGCCTGGAGGTGTCAGATGGAGACTGACAGAAATGTGTAACTGCTGGAGTAAGCTCCTCTGCCTGCAGCCCTGTCGCGTGGCGGGAGGCAGTGCACTGGGCAGAGGAACCACATTGTTACACACCAGTCTCTGCCTGGCCACTTTAGCCTGGGACCTCGGACGAGTCAGTGACCACTGAGAGCCTCTCCAAAATGGAGGCAGGAAATGCTGCTCTTTCAGCTTTCAGTTCTAACTGCCCACACGTCTCAAAAACGTGCAGATGTTCACTTGGGTTTAATTTCACAGACGTGAGTACCGTCTCCTCTGTGCCACGCCCTGTACCAGCTATCGAGGACGGGTAGTGAGGTTCTCAGTTTCTGCTGGCACAGTCTGTGAGACTGGAGCAGGAGAGGCATGAATGCTCCTGACACAGCTCCCTCAAGCTCTCCTTAGTCTTGTCTCAGCAGAAATGCCACTGCGGGACATGGACGCAAAGCCCAGCCCCTGCTGCAGGAGACCACTCAGCTGTCGTGGTGGAGACACTCTTTCTCCTCAGTGGAGAGGAGTCCTGTGGTGTTCTCTGTTTTTCATTGCAGCAGGAATTATTTAAAACTTTGGCCATACGATTTGTAAAAGAAAAAGAAGGAAGATGAGGGTGATCATAAAGGTGGGATTGTGGTTTTTACCTGGGACTCATGCATGGAGCCAGGCGCCTGGCCCAAGGCCTGGACAGGCACCGCTCTCAGAGCCTCTGCCCACTTTGACCCTCACATGCTGGAAGTCTGTCTTCTGTGGCTGTTAGTCTTCCATCTTCTTTGAAAGTGCAACAGAGACCAAAAAACTACCCAAATTAAATATTTCTGAGGTCTCCAGTAGTGTCACAGAAGCTGTGGATCGTATGTGGCTGCTTAGCTTGTGAGTCTGGGGCAAGAATTGTGCTTCTCTGACTTGCGTTGTATTATTTCACGTGCTGTAGAAATCAACTAGGTTCTTGTCCAGGCTCAGGTGCCATTTTCCTCCTGGCCACTTCAGCCCGGTGACCTCGGGTGAGTTATTGACTTCTCTGAGCTTTGTGAAATGGAGGCAGAAAATGCGGCTCTTTCAGCTTACAGTTATAGCTGCCCACGCTTTTAAAAAATGCTGAGGGCACATCTGTGTTCAGGACTGTCAGTAAAGTCACAGGCAGGTGGGTTTCGTTTTTAGTATTTCCAAGCTAAAGTTAGCTGAATTGAAACAGCATTATTTATAAAGAGATTTGGGTAGTTGCCATTCGTATAGATGTAGAATATGTTTGTGTGGTTGAAATTATAATTTGTTTTGTTTCAGGACAGTTAATGTTTCTGTACCAAAAAAAACAAGAAATAATGGGACGCTGTATGCCTATATTTTCCTCCATCATGCCGGGATTCTGCCATGGCACGATGGGAAGCAAGTGCACCTAGTCAGTCCCCTGACTACCTACATGGTCCCCAAACCAGAAGAAGTCAACCTGCTCACTGGGGAGTCTGCTGCACAGGTGAGGGTCTCCCTGGATGACCGGCAGAACAATGTGCACCCTCCCATTCAGAATTCACACACACTTTGGGCCGGCCCGGTGGCGCACTGGAGAGTGCGCCGCTTGGGAGCACAGTGGCGCTCCCGCCAAGGGTTCGGATCCCATGTGGAGACCGGTTCCTGCTCACTGGCTGAGCGCGGTGTGGGTGCAACACCGAGGGTTGTGATCCCGTTACCGGTCAGTAAAAAAGACAAAAAGGAAAAAAAAAAATAATAAAGTAAAGCAATCTGAGTGTTACTGGCATATGTATCTGTCTTTGAGCTGAATCATTTCCCATGCATTTGCAGATAAATTTTATATCAAATTAGTGATGAAAAGAGTAAGTGGTTAGTGTTATTCTTTATCCAGATTCCCTTTCAGGCCAAAGGCCTCTCAGTCCCCAGGGAGAACATGTCTCCTTCCAGTGGGTGGGTGAGCGGGCAGGTAGCTCATCCTCCAAAGCTCACCTGCACCCTTCTCTTCTGGAGTTAGCACTGAGAGTCGGACTCACAACTACATTGTGTATAGGACTGAAATATTCTGAGAGTACAATTCCAAAATATGGAGAAGGTATACGTACCAGTTACATTTCATACATCTGTAGAAAGCTATATGTGCAAAGAAACACTAGAAGTCACTTAAACGATTTAACAGGGCCATGAATAAAACAAGGGAATTCCAATATCCAAGTCTGTGTTTTAAGTAGAAAGTGAGATAATTTACAAACAGGAAAGACACAACTTTTCAGGAAGCAACTGTGAAATTGTTCTAAGCACAGAGAGACAGGGCAATTCAGGGTTAAGGCAGGTTTGAAAACCCTTCTGGTACCTACTCTTGCCTCTCCTGGTTTGCAGTCACCTGCTGGGTCTCCTTAGGAAGATCCCTCATCTGCCAGCGTCCATGTTCTCTTCACGTGAGGACAGTGGCCCCCTCATAGGGCATCCTGAGGAGTCAGTGAGCTCAGGGTTAAGGCAGGTTTGAAAACCCTTCTGGTACCTACTCTTGCCTCTCCTGGTTTGCAGTCACCTGCTGGGTCTCCTTGGGAAGATCCCTCATCTGCCAGCATCCATGTTCTCTTCACGTGAGGACAGTGGCCCCCTCATAGGGCATCCTGAGGAGTCAGTGAGGTGACGGTGCATATGTAAGGAATGGCTCTGGAATGTAGCAAGTGCTGAATAAGTGCAAGCTGTTACTGTGAGTTAGAACACTATTTTCAATGTAAATTTTTATAGCTGAACTATCTTTAGGTAGGAAATAAATAAGATGATACTGTTTTGTAGAATTTACCAGTGAGATGTGAAATAAAGATTTTCTTGCCAATCAGAGTTTCTCTTCTGAGTTTAATTTTATTTAGGATTGATGCCTAATCCTTGAAACATCTCCTTCCAGACAACTTGATGTGCTTGGTTTAGAAGGTATCCCTTTTCAGTCTTCTTACAACCTGCAGGGCTGTGTTAGCTGCAGATTTGCTAAGTCCACTACCAAGGTCACAGGGCTTGTGCCCTTGTCAGGACCTGAGAAGTGGGCGTCCTGAGTCTGCAGACCCTGAAAAAGGAGTTGGTGAGATCTGTGACCGTGTATTGCGAAACAGCAGCCCTTAGGCTTCCGTTGAGACACCAAGGAAGGGCGTGAGGCCAGAGCTGGGGAAATCGGCAGCTGTGGGATCCTGGTGGCATGCACCACTGGGCTCCCTTCCCTGGTTGCATGCATCTGGGCAGCCACTCTGTTCACAGGTGAAGATCCTGACCAACCTGGTGCCCATAGGCACCATTTTCCACCCCAGCAGTGGCTTCTGTTTCCCCTCATTTAGCAGCAGATCGAAGCAGAAAAGAAGCCCACGAGTGCCCTGGACGAGCCAGTGTCTCACTGGAGACCAAGGCTGACGCTGAATGTGATGGTGGATGACTTCGTCTTCGATGGTTCCTCCCTGCCCGCCGATGTGCATCGGTACATGAAGATGTGAGTGTTGCCCCCAGAGTGACAGCAAAGGGGGTGAACCTGGCAGTGTGGGCGGGGGATCCTGCCAGGGCCCTGGCCTGACCACAGACCAAAAGCAGGTGGGCCACACCAGCATCCTAGAACCCCCAGCTCTCTTCCTGCTTCTCTTGGAGGTCATATTGATGGGACTGCCACCAAAGGATTGGAGGGAAAGAATGACAGTGGAACTGGTGCATCTCACATTCTGCTCTGGCAGAGTCTCCCCCTTGTCCTAGTTCCACCATGAATTTCTTGTTTTTGTTTTAAACTTGTGTATTAGTTTGTTTCTGTTGCTTATAACAGAACACCTGAAACTGCGTAATTTGTAAAGAAACAATGTTTATTGCTTATGGTTTCGGAGGCTGTGAAGTCCAAAGTCCAGGGAACACATCTGGGAGGGCTTCTTTGGTGGTGGCTTCAGCAACGCAGGGTGTCACATTGTGAGAAAGGGGGAGCAAGAGAGAGCTGCTCACTGGCTCTCCCTGTAAAGCCAACAGAACCACACCCACGGCCGCCGTCGAGTGCATCAGTCCATTCTCTAGAGCCTGGCCCTACAATCTCATCACCTCTTTAAGACCCAACTTTTTAATTACCGCAGTAGTATTTTCCACTCTTGACAGTTACAGTAGGGATTAAGCTTCAGTGAGTTTGGGGACATTCAGTCCACAGAAACTTGATTTGTTTAGATTTACTGGAGAATTTGTCTTTAGGTTGTGTTACTTTAGTGTCACTAGCTGTCATTAGTTGAGTAACTATTAAAGTGGACATGTTTGGCCAGCTGAAGTTCCCGTGTCGCCCATGTTTTGGGGAGCCCAGTGGTGAGACCTGTCCACGTGTCACGCGGCATCTGGAGACGGCTCTGATGAGAATTGCCTTTCTGCCCACATCAGTAGTTCTATCTCATCTGTGCATGCAGTTCAGAGTGCAAGAGCTACATGACAGTCACTCAGTGAAAAGCCCCCTCCTGTTCTCCAGCCTCCCCCTCAGTGGGCAGCCTCTGTCCAGGTGCCGATGCTCTGTGGGTTTTGTTTCCTTTCGTCCCTCATGTATCCCAGGATCCCTCGTCAGTGCACAGATGGATCCCTCTGCTCCATTGTGTGGCTGTGTCCCCATTGGTCCCCCCATGGCCACAGGCTCCTTCCCAGTTGTGGCTGTGACTGTTCTAGTGGAGGGTGCTGCTTAAACATGCACAGTGGGATTCTTGTCTCCACGTAGAAAGTTAATATTCTGGGATTACTAAGACTGACAGGACCTGGAAGTGATGCTGGGTGGGGTTTCTCTACTTAGTAAAGCCCATTCCTGGGTGTATTTAGTTCACCTAGAGGTGAAAGTCTCCATCCTGACTTTGAGGAATGTGCTTTTGTCCCCAGGATCCAGCTGGGGAAGACCATGCACTACCTCCCCATCCTGTTCATTGACCAGCTGAGCAACCGGGTGAAGGACTTGATGGTGAGTGGCCTTCTCTGTGCAGTTCACTGCAGAACCCGCTGTCCACACTGCATTAGTGAGACACCTTGGTCCTGGCATTAGTATTCTATGAGATCGTTTTTGGCACAGGTCTCTTTCCCATGGTGGGAAGTGTCACCCTTAGGCTGTGAGAAGGCTGTAGTGAGGGGTCCTGGGACCTGGCCGTGCTCCATGTTTGCTGCTGGCTGGCGGTGGGATCCTCCTGAGCCTCTGAGTCCTCACGGTGAAAGGCTCCTGAGAGATGACTTATTAAGGGCTTAGATGGCAGGTGCCCAGGGCTCCAGTGGAAACAGCTTTTACATATTTGTTCCTGATGTGAGGTGCATGTCAATTCAGAAAGCACTGGAGCCAACATCTGCTTCCTTGGGAGGGTCCTGCACAGGGGGCCAGAGGAGAGTGTCACATCACGGGCCCTGCCTCAGAGTCGCAGCTACTGGGGTGGCCCCTGAGCGAGGCTGAGGTGCCTAGGAAAGTGGGGAGGTGGCCGCCCGCTGGATCCTGGTGCTCTTGCCATTGCAGACAGTAATGGCACCTCTTCTCCAGGGCTGCTTTGGGGGTAGATGAAAGTTGGCTGACCCTTGGCTAGTGATGAGAGTAATGATGGTGATTAACATTTAATGCCACTTAGTACGTGCCAGGCACTGTGCTAACATTTTAATCCAGGTGCTTACTTAGGGTTAGAAGTGAATTCGCTAGGGTCACATGCTAGCAGAGGGCCTGGATGAGCTGCCCTGCATGGCGTCTCCCCGGAGCTGCAGCTGTCATCCATGAGCACGTACAAGAAGCCAGGCTGTCTTCTTTCACTTAAGGCTTTTGGTAACTTTTTAGTAGCACTTTCCACATTTTATGGATGAGGAAACTGAGGCTCAGGACCAGTAGGGAGCTGATCAGAATGCACAGCTGGTAACCAGGAGAGGCAGGTGCCTGGCAAGGGCCGCTGCCTTGGAGACCCCTGCCCAGCTCTGCTGCCTGCAGCTTTCGAAGACAGGGTCCCTCTGTGTGGCTGCTCACTTGGGCCCTGAGGGGTCCCACACACACAGGGTCCTCCACTTTTCTGGGGCACTGATTGCTCCTCCGTAACCTATAGGCAGGGATGGGGCAGGCAGTGGCCAGTGCACAGGTCTGGTTGGCTCCCAGCCTTGGCCTGACTTGGTTTCTCTTTGTCAGCCTCTGCAGTGCTGGTTCTCTTCTGTGTTTTCTGGAGTGTCCTGTGGTGCTATTTGCAAACCTCAGCACACCAGGTTCTGCTGAAGTTCACAAGATGGTGCTTTATGAAATGCAGGGACTGTCTGTGGTCACTGTTTGTGAAGCCATGTGGTGCTGGTTCTTCCCAGGCATATGAAACGGTGACCAGTGCCTGAAGGTCTGCAGGTGAAGGCCCTGTGCCTGTCTGCAGATCCCAGCTAGCTGGTGGTTCCTGGGCAGGAGCTGTAGAGAGCCTCTGTCCTCCTAGTGGCCACCTGCTTCGTGGTTTAGGAAGAGTCCCGTACACAGACACAGAGGCGAGTGAGCTGGTGGCCAGCTTTTCCCTGCATCATGCTCTCAGTGTTGCTGTTGCTTGTCCTGCTTGGAGCGCTGCCTTTCAGAGGCATGCCATCTTTAGGGAACAGCCAGCCTGCTGGGGTTCAGCAGCCAGCAGGAAGTGGGGCACTGCCCCATGGAGGCCCACTGTTGGACAGACCTGATGGTTCAAGGAGTGCCCAGTGGCCTGCTGCCCTCCTGCAGCAAGGCCAGTGCTCTGTGTGGGGCGCCCCAGCACCTGGCTATGGAGCCCAGGAGCCCAGGCCTGCTGTCTGCTGGACACTGGCTCCACAGGATCCCCACGCCTCTGATACCAGCAGTGATCACTGTGATGGGTCGGGGAATGAGAGCAGGTGCATCTGATGGCACATGGACCATGGTGCCTGTGCGTGTCCTGGACCCCTGAGGGCAGTCACTGCCCAGGCGACCTCTGGTTCTTCCAGGACGGTGCTAGCCCCGAGGGTCATGCTCAGCTCCTGCCCCTCGGTTCAGCATGCTGCCCCGGGCAGGTTCCCAGCAGGTGCTGTGGTGAGCACAGTCTCCCAGGATATCAGGGCGTATGTGGCTGGGAAAGATAAGACACACGCAGCACAGAAGGGGTGCTGCCTGTGCCGATGCGCCCATGGGGTGGTTGGAAGAGACATGTGGGGTGCCGGTGGGGGGTAGAGGGGGACACGGCACGTCAGTCCATGAGAGAAATGGTTGCCTGGTCTGAGGTGGCAACAGGGTGGGAGCTGAGTCCTGTGGGGGGAGAAGTGCGGTGGGCAGCGCTGCCTGGGTCGGAGCGTAAAGGACCTGAGATACAGGATGAGCAGCTGCAGCTGACATGGGGCTGTGGGAAGAGGCACAGCGTCCACGCATGTGATGTGTCCACAGCCCTGCAGGACAGGAGGCAAGGATCCACGAGGGGCCCCAAGGACCGTCTGGGTACGGCATGTAAAGCTGCTCCTTGCAGGGCTCGGGCTATGACTCGGTCCTGTGCGGTGGCGAGTTCTCGCGTCTGGTTTCCCTCGCGCAGGTCATCAACCGCTCCACCACGGAGCTGCCACTCACCGTGTCGAGGCTGCTCCTTGCAGGGCTCGGGCTATGACTCGGTCCTGTGCGGTGGTGAGTTCTCACGTCTGGTTTCCCTCGCGCAGGTCATCAACCGCTCCACCACGGAGCTGCCACTCACCGTGTCCTATGACAAGATCTCGCTGGGGCGGCTCCGCTTCTGGATCCACATGCAGGACGCCGTGTACTCCCTGCAGCAGTTCGGTGTGTGGCCACCCCGTTCATGCAACAGCTGTCACAGCCAGGCAGCCTTGTGCCTCCAGCAGAGGCCTTCACGTCCTCGTGATCCCAAACGTCACTGATGTCTTGTCTCCATTTTATCTCTTTGGAAATGGCCTTGTTGATGATCTGAAAATTTGCTTTTTTCAGAACGTAATATTTGAAATGTCACTGTTTTGGTAAAATGAACCTTCACTGCTGACAATGGTTAAGTTTTCTACGTTCACAAATACCTTTGTGATGTCAGGTAAGGTTGAAGTTGTCCATTTGTCACTACAATGTGTTTTCTTTATCCTTGGCAGGGTTTTCAGAGAAAGACGCTGATGAAGTGAAAGGGATTTTTGTAGATACCAACTTGTATTTCCTGGCGCTGACCTTCTTTGTCGCAGCGTTTCACGTGAGTCGTCACTTGTGTTCTTGTCGCGGAGCGATGGTGCATGCTCTGGGGTGACTCCAGGACCGGGAGTCCCCACCAGGTCGGCTACCCCACAGTCTGTGAGGTGCTGCCCAGCCCCCAGCCCCTCAATGTCCTTTCTCATTGTCCAGCGGTCAGCACAGCTGAGACTTTGTGGCTGACATCCTAATGGGCACTTCCCCAGCTTGGGGGTGGGGTGGGCATAGAACGGAACATTGTCCACAGCTTGGAGTACTTGCCTGCTGGCTTTAGAGGCAGTTCTGAAAAGAAGATCCAAAATACTTTGAGCAGTGTTCACATCAATGAAATTAATGTATGACTTTGCAAAACAATTACTTCAGCGTATACATTCTAATAAGATGATGGTAAGTTTTTAAGAAACCATTTCTGTGTGTAGAATCACGTTTTGTGTGTGGAGTCTCAGAATTGCTAGAAGAAAGCTGCACCAGTGCCAGCTGTGATGCAGGACTGGGGGTGGAAGGACGAGGAGGCGCCAGGGAGCTCTGTGGGAGCTGGTCTGAGTGCCTGGGAACTTGGCCACCAGCCAAGCTAAATCTTCCAGAAGCCCTACTGGGAAATTAAATGGTGACTTTTATTAAAAGGTCAGTTTCTCTTAGGTTGAGCTTTTCTGTTTTTAAGGCAGTAAGGGGCGAGACTACTCTCCCGAGTAACAGGGGCTCAAGAGCAGAGCAGAGGTGCCTGGTCAGCCATGCGTCCCAGGGAAGATCAGGTGGGAGAGGAAGTGTCTCGATGCCTGGGTGTTTTGCCCACAAGTTGAGTCAAAGATGCATATTTTAGAAGTGCCCTTAGAAAAGCCCACCTTCGAACGCCAAAGCTGATGTGGCAGGTGAGGCCTGTGGAGGTGTGGAATCAGGCATGTGGACATCTGCCTAGGTGTGTCCCTGTGTCGGGTCCAGGGCCCACTGCAGTCTCATGGGGGATACAAGCTATAGAAACAGTGAGAGTCAGATTGCTGTCCTGTCTGTTCTTTTCAGCTTCTTTTTGACTTTCTGGCATTTAAAAACGACATTAGTTTCTGGAAGAAGAAGAGGAGCATGATTGGAGTGTCCACCAAGGCAGGTGGGTGCCCAGGACTTGCCCACTCATGAGCTTGTGTGCTGCCGTTGACAGGGATGGGCTGTCCTGATAGATGCTAGTAACAGACTGAGCCCTGCTTGAAGCCTCTTTAGATGCACTGTCACAAATCCAGGGAGCTGTCTCAGAGACCACAGTGAGTGCCTCAGACCTGTCGCTGCAACTGGAGATGGAGGCTGGAGGCAGGAGGGGCTTGCTGAGCCCTTCTGGCAGCTTGTGTCGCTGATATGGCACTGAGACCTTGTACCTCTGCTGGGGTGACATTGGGCGGCACTCAGGAGATAAAGCAGTGCTCAGGGCCGTAGATAGGGTGGGAAGGGTACCCCTTGGGGCTGATGGCCCAGATGGCGGGCTGCCAAGATTGGAGCCCCACTGGAGGCAGAGGCGGCCAGGATGAGAGCAGGAATCCTCCTGGCCTCTCAGGAGGGCATGGTGACTGGACCAGCGTGAGTGGGGTGGGTGAGGATGACCAGCACAGCAACCCCGGCATGAGAGAAGTGGGGTTGGCAGGGGGTTGGTTGTGTCTGGGTGCTGGTATCCGGCTCGAGCAAGGGTCTCATGTGGTAAAGGCAGTTCATCTCATGTGGAGAAGACACACCCAGCAGGTGGTCCTTACTGCTGCGTGGAGGCCCTGGGCATCACCAGTGACTCCACCTTCTGTGCCCTGCCTTGGTCCTCCTGCCCCTCCCCCCAGCACAGCAACCCCGGCATGAGAGAAGTGGGGTTGGCAGGGGGTTGGTTGTGTCTGGGTGCTGGTATCCGGCTTGAGCAAGGGTCTCATGTGGTAAAGGCAGTTCATCTCATGTGGAGAAGACACACCCAGCAGGTGGTCCTTACTGCTGCGTGGGGGCCCTGGGCATCACCAGTGACTCCACCTTCTGTGCCCTGCCTTGGTCCTCCTGCCCCTCCCCTGGCCCTTTCAGGTGTCTGGTGGGGGGTGGCTAGCAGACAGCAGCTCCTGCCTGCACCAGGCACTTAGGGAAAGCAGAAGGATGTTTCCAGAAAGCTGGTGTGGTTTTTAAAATATAATTTTAGTACAAAAAGGAAAGCTTTTAAAGGAAACATACATTTAGTGTAGAACTGGTATAAAAACAGGAAAAGATGGAGGAAAGCAAGCCACACTCCACAGTCCACAGTCCTCCCGGCGCGTCTCTGAGTTTGTTTAGGTATTTGTAGACAGAGCTGGGACTTCACTGTCTGCTCAGTTCTGTGGCAGTCACTGTTTTTTCATGTTATAACATGGTCTGGGGAAGGCTGGTACCTCATGTGCATGGTGGCATGTGTGGGGTGGGTGCCCGCATCGCCCTCTCATCATGGACATCCCGTCCCCAGTGCTCTGGCGCTGCTTCAGCACCGTGGTCATCTTCCTGTTCCTGCTGGACGAGCAGACCAGCCTGCTGGTGCTGATCCCGGCAGGCATCGGAGCCGCCATCGAGGTTAGTCCCGGGCACTGCGTGGGGCAGGCTGTGTGATCTGTATGAGGTCCAGGGCCTCAGCACATGGTGAGCTGAGGCCTTGTTCCTGCGGGTGGCGGTGTCCCCTGGGCAGCGCAGGTGTTCTGGGAACACTGAGTGGACAGGGAAGCAGCCGCTGTCAAGAGCTTGCACAGACTGACGGCAGGGAAAGGTGGCTTCCCACGCACAGCTGACGAGGGGGCATCTGCTGGGCAGACACAGTGTGGCATGTGGGTCCACTCTGCCACATGGGGAGCAAAGGCACCTACCATGCGGCCTTCAGGATCTCATGGTCTAGCTGGAGGTGTGAGACGCGACAGCTGTGTGGGCAGTAGCCAAGGTCATTTGGTCCCCTGTGCTCAGGTCCTGGACATTTGGAGCTCAGAAAAGGGAACCTTGTGGGGCAGACAGGTTTGGAAGCCAAGGCTTGAGGGACGGCCATTGACTGGGGACGGGAGGACAGACCAGGGCTTCTGCGTACGTCACCCCTGACCGGGAGTGAGAGTGTGAGAGCCCTGGTTCTGGCATGCTCCGCCGGCAGCACTGGCCCATGTGGCTGTCAGTGCGCATCAAGGAGTGGGCTTCAGTGATACTGGAGCACTGTGGGCTGGTGACCCTCCACAGTCACAAGTCACGGTGTGGACTCCCATTTCAGAGGCAGGGTGCTGGCCCCAACCTTGGGACGTGAGGTGGGCCTGAGGATGAAGTGAGCATGGCAAGGAATGGGTGTGTTCCAGGGAGGTCCAGGACAAGGCTCAGGCCTGCCAGCCTACCCGGAGGAGGAGAAGGCTGGTGCGGGGCAGCGGGAGGGCACAGAGAGCTGTAGTCGGGCCGTGTGCGGTGGTGTGCTGAGTGCGGGTGCAGAGGCTGTGGGCCAGGGCCGGGGCCAGGCTGGCGTCGTCAGCTGCAGCCAATGGGCCTCTCGGTCAGATGCCATGGCACCGCGTCCTGCCTATGGCTGGCTACGTAGTTCGTCCTGATGTCTGCTTGGTCTTCTCCTCTCAGCTGTGGAAAGTGAAAAAGGCATTGAAGATGACTGTCCTGTGGAGAGGCCTGCGGCCTGAGTTTCAGGTGAGATTTCCTGTGGGGACTGAGCCCCATCTGCCCTCTAGAGTCCATGACCTTCCTCTCCTGTACAAACCCACCGTTCTAGCGTCCAGCCAGTGGACAGTCTGTTGCCGCTGTCCAGACTGGCTGGAGCTTTCCGGTCCCGTCCGCGTTGAGCTGCGGGGTGCTCTGAGGGTCGGTGACTGCCATTTCATCCTGGCGTGTGACTAACCCAGCAGCAGAGCTGCCTCCAGCGAGCAAGCGGGTGCCATGGGGCTCTGCGGTTCTTTGCCCGGTGAGCCCCCATGGCAGAGCCGTGTTGGCCTTATGGTCACAGCCACTTCTTTATTCACCTGAGGACCCCCATCCTCATCATAAGCTCTAGTTTTGACTTGTCTGTGTCTGAGCAAACCTGCTGCAGGGGGTGCCAGTCCGATTCCTGCATAAGGTAGCCACTGCTTTGGGGATAGCAGTTGTGCCCAACTCCTGGATATTGATAAGTATCCTGGGCAGATTGGGGCTGGAGGTTAAAGGCCAGAGTTCCTGGACTTACCGTTACCCATAACGGGCCTTGGTTGAGCTAGAACCCTCAGAAGTTGCAATGCCCGTTTTCCCAGATCGTGAGCAGGTGGAGGACAGAACGCTCACCAGGTACCACGTAGTCTCTCATACTTTAGTGTTAGCCCTGTGACTCTGCCTTTACTGATTTCAGGGCAGGATCATAAAATTTCTGTACAAAGGGGGTATTTTCACTGTAAATACCTGCAGTGCTGGACCCAGCAGCCCTGGCGAGGGAAACGGTTAACAGGGTCGCTGTCTGAGTTTCTGTTCCTTGCACAGGGGGCCAAGGGCCAAGCACACTGACGCTGGTTAGCTTTGCAGTCGTGTGTGATGCCCTTCCCCCTGCAGTCACAGCTACGCTTGGCTCAGATTCCTTCCCTGAGTCAATTAACATTATCATATTGAATTTTACAACAGTTTGGCACTTACAGTGAATCCGAGAAGAAAACAGAGGAATACGATACTCAGGTAAGCGATGGGGGTGACTGGGCCGTGTGTGTGCTGGGCATGTAGAAAGCAGGCAATACCCTGGGTGATAGTATCCCTCCTGTGATTGTTCAGTGTGACACAGGGTGACATGGTTCCCGGGGTGACCGGCCCATCTCGAGCAGGATCCCAGGAGTGAACACACTCGACTCACTTGTGACCTGGGTGGGGAGGGGGGAGGACCCACTGCCTTGTTCCCAGCCCTTGCGGGTAAAGCCAGGCCTGTGTCACTGCACAAGTGGGGATGTTTTTACTGTCTGAGAGATCGCGTCCACCAGGCAGCCCTTCCCTGTTTGCTGGGATTGCTGCGAGCTGCCTCGCTGTCACCAAGAGTGCGAAGGCTGCAGAGCCACATGGCCTGGAGGAAGGTCTCCATGTGGCAGGGCATCCGCTTTTCCCCTCTTTCATAGGGTAGCTGAAAGTTTTAGTTTGATTTAACAGAACATTTCTGCACAAGAATGTTTTTTGGTTTAATGGTAATCAGTTTATGTTCCGATTTTCAAAAGAGATTATAATAAAACTGCTATCAGAATAAATACAGTTAGGGGATAACTACCTTACTTGGAAGGCAGTCTTACTACGTAATTCTGGGAGTGTTTCTTCCGGTCTGTTTCCATTATATTTATTGATCTGTTGTAGGTTGGTTGGTTTTTGCTTTCGATGAGCCAAAATTGATACACTGGTATTGTTAACTAGCATGCACAGTTTCCGTCTGGGTTCATGTGTGGTGGACATCCTGTGGGTTTACAGGTTTACAAAGGCGTGTGTTCACTGCAGTATCACGCAGAGTAGTCACTCTGCCCCCAGTGTCGTGGGTTTTCTGTCTTTTTAGTTTCCTGTGTTGTGTTAGTTCCTTGAAATGCACGTGCAGAGGTTTGATGTTGAGAGTATTTCTCTAGTGATTAACTTTGTTCCTTGGCAGGCCATGAAGTACTTGTCTTATCTGCTCTACCCTCTCTGTGTTGGGGGTGCCGTTTACTCGCTCCTGAATATCAAGTATAAAAGGTAGGGTGCTGCGCAGACCTCACACCTGTTATGCCCCCCAGCTGAGAAGTCCATTTGGTTACTGAGCAAACTGCACCTGGCAGGCAAGCTCAAGCCCAGGGCACCAGCTCCCAGTCTCCCCACCTTCTGTTGCCCAGGATTCTGAGCAGGGTGGGCTCTGTGCCTCAGTCTCCCCCCTGCAATGGGGAGGAGACAAGAGGACCTGCCTGCAGCCACGGAGGGTCTGAGTGCTCATCAGGAGTGGGTACAGAATGGGAGCTGCAGCCCTGAGCTGGGAAAGGTCTGCGGCCGTCACCCAGCCCCTGGGCCTCGCTCTCCCCTTCCATGGACATACGGCCACATCTTCCAGCCTGAGATGTGCAGGCTGTCGTGCTGTGGTGTGACAGCTTCATTAAGGCTTCAGCAGCGTGTGGACCTGCAGGACGCTGGAACAAGACTAAGGGCAGGTGGCGGGGCCCTGAGCCAGGTGGGCACGCAGCATTGAGAGCTGGACATGGGCTACTGTGGTTTTCCATCCCACTGGAAGTCCTGTAGAATCAAGCCTGTCAGTGCAGAGTGGCCCGTGCCCCACCTGGAACCCACAGTTCCATTGTAGCAGTTGTATGAGGGACAAAGGGGGCAGAAGGCGTGGCCCTCCTTAGGCTCAGCAGGGTCCCCGCCCTGCCACGACTGGCAGCCCTTCTTGGCTGCCCCGCTGCTGTGAGAGTGCTTGGGTGTTTATTAGAGGATTTTTCATGAAAGAGTTGTTTGTAGTCCAGGTAACACGGATGTTAAATGATACAGGAAATCGGCTTTTCTGAAGGTTACAACTCCTTTTTTCCCTTTCAGTTGGTATTCTTGGCTAATCAACAGCTTCGTCAATGGTAAGTGCGTGAGTTTCCACCGTTTCAGTAACAGCCTTTACTGCAGATGCTGTATTTATTGTTCCGCCTGTAACCCATCGTGGCGGGGGCGCTGGTGTTAGGCTCGGCCCCACCATTCACTCCCCTTTGTGGTGCCCACCACTCACCGCGCGGCTGCCAGCCCGGGCTCAGGGCACCTTGTGCACCCGAGAGGCGAGGATAGGGCCTCCCCTGGAGGTGGACACTGAGCAGACAGTCTGCTTTCTCTTCCTCATACCAGCAGGTGAACATGAGCATTAAAACAATGTTGTCTGTGTGTCTTATTGCTCAGAGCAAACCAAAACGTCGAACCCAGAGTATGATGGGCCCCTGGAGATCCCGCCATGCCCTGCACAGCCACGCCTAGGGTGGGCTGTCCTGCAAGGCTGCTCCTCCTGCCTGGGCAGCCACTGCCCGCACCCACTTGCCCTGCCAGGCTGGCCTGAATCACAGCTTTGTGTTCTCTTTGGGAGGTGATCCCATGGCCCTGTGCTTGACCATGTCCCACACTTGACCCCAGCCCCAGGGCAGGACCTTGTGGGGCGCGTGGCCACGTCCTCACAGCACCCCAAGCGCCCAGCGCTCGCCTGACCCCATGGACAAGAGTTACCCTGACTGCTAGACGCGTCAGCCAGAAAGCTGCATTGTGTGGGGACTGACTCCAGCCGTGTGGACGGTGGGCGTTTCTCCCGAGGAGGCGTGTGCAGGCTGCAGACCCTGCCCCGCTGCCCTCCATGCCTGGTGTCTGTTTTTCCCCAGGAGTCTACGCGTTTGGCTTCCTGTTCATGCTACCCCAGCTCTTCGTGAACTACAAGGTAAGGCCCGCGCAGCACCCCCAGCCGGGGCCCTGCCTTCTGTGCTGCCGCGACTGACCTGTGCCTCTCCCTGTGTCTCAGATGAAGTCGGTGGCGCACCTGCCCTGGAAGGCCTTCACCTACAAAGTGAGTGCCCCCCTGACAAGGTCACTTCTTGTGGAGCAAAGTCATCACAAGTGGGTCGCCTTGACCCAGAAGTACATTTGGTAGCCTGTCATTTTGTTGGAAACTACTAAGGAGTCTCTTAAGAACACCAAGAGCCATGGTAGTAGCCTTGACTGTCACAGGGACAGAAGGTTTTTTTTTAGTTAGAAGCTCTATTCCTCTTTGGTGACAAGTATCAAAACAGATTCGCCTTAGCCTAGTAACTCAGTGTATGGGGTTGGTGGGTTCGGGCACCACCCAGGCAGTAGCTGGAAGCCCCCCACGTGCAGAGCTCGGGGTGCGTGACCCCCAGGGCTTGCAGAGGTGCCTTGGTAGCGTGGAACTGCAGGTGCTTCATGGCACGGTGGGTGGGGCAGTCCCACAGGACGTGGCTTTCGGTTTCTGTAGTAAAATTACAAGTTCTGACAGGAAAGAGCAGTGCTCACATGCTGTGCTCTTAGGGTGCGCTTTCAGGACAGGCCTCTCCAAGCCCCCAGATGTGGAGAGCCCGTGGCAGGGTCGCCGTGCACGTGGGGCCCTCAGAGACCGCTCTGCACTGCCAGCTGTGGCGGGTGGGGCGGGGCCCACGGGAACAGCGTGTGCCGGCGCTGGCTCCTTCCTGCTGCTCTTGCTGATGTGAGGAGTCGCGACTGTGAGTGTCGCTCACCCGCATGAAGCGGTCTGCTTGCTTAGCTACAGACAGGACTGCAGCCCTGAGCGGGCGCTCAGCTCTCCCGTGCTTCACAGGCGTTCAACACCTTCATTGACGACGTCTTCGCTTTCATCATCACCATGCCCACGTCCCACCGGCTGGCCTGTTTCAGGGACGACGTGGTGTTCCTTGTCTACCTGTACCAGCGATGGTGAGTGTGGCTGCCACGCGCAGGTCACGGGGAGAGACTCGTTCTTACAGACTCCCTGTGCTCGGTCCATTTGGGGGAGAGGCTGTTTGCAGGTGGTGGGTTTTCCTGTGTTGCCTAAAATGTGGGTTCCAGTTGCCAGCACTGTGACGTGGCAGGAAGTGGCTCCAGCTCTCTGTCTCATCACTTAGAAGTGCTTGTTTCTGTGTGCAGCATCCTGTCAGCTGCTGTAACCACAGTCCTCCATGTCCACAAGGGACAGCACACGCAGGTCCCTGCTGTAAATGGAGTGATGTATGTGTGTGACCTGCCCACGTCCTCCTATGTGCTACAAGTCACCCTTAGATCACTTGCAGTACCTGATGCAGCATGCACGCTGTGTGGGTGGTTGCTCTGCACTGTCTAGGGAGTGGTGACAGGGAAGGAGTCTGCACACGTGTCGTGTGGACACAGCCATCCCAGGCCTGGCTGCACGTCCTACCGCGGCTGAGTCCACGGGTGCAAGGCCTGCGGCAGGGAGGGTGAGGAGGCCTGACTGTGTGCGTCTCTCCTTGCAGTATTTGCATATTCATGGTCATTGCCATTTAGCAGAGCACAGAGACGGTGATTGCCGGCCACAGTTCTTCCTGCAGTAGGTGCGGGGTGTCTGGCAGGGGGTCACTGGGCCCAGGTCTCAGTGCGGGAGCAGGCTCTGGGCCTTTAGGGCATCAGCTTCACTGAAGAGCTCACTCACCCGGGTGGTAACTGCACCCCACAGACAGCAGACTTGAGGGCCTCCCAAGACCGATCACGCTGACCTCTCAGCTTGGTCCTCGGCTGAGGGTTGACAGCTAAGGCAGCACTCCGGGAGATCTTTCTAAACTCAGATGCTCAGGCCCTGCCCTGGGCCTCCTGCGTCCCCTCCAGTGGGGACTATGTGGAGCTGCCCGCCTCTGCCGGGGCCCGGGGTGGCAAGGGCTGTATCCTGGAGCACAGGAAGGAGCCTCTCCATGGAATGAGTGTCCCAGAACCTCCTGGCTCTGTCCTTCTCCAGCCCTCAAGGTCCCTCTTCCTAGCAGGAGGCACCACCCACCCACTGTGCAAAGACGCTTCTCTGCATCCTCCCCAGGCCACAGGCCACCAGACCAGTGCAGGAGAGGGGCTTTTCTTCCCGTGGCCCCTCCAGCTGGCCTGCCCCTGTGGGGGACAGGAGGCTCACCTGGGGCTTGAGCCAGTGTCCCCTGGCAGGCTTCCTCATGGGCCTCAGGGAGCACAGAGCCCTCACTCGTGCTCTGCAGGCTGGGGCATGCAGCCCTCCAGAAGCTTTGTCCCATCAGCGTCACGTGGCCGTCATCCATCAGTGCACACGCGGCAGCCCAAGCATGGCGTGACCCAGCGGCTTTCTGGCTGCCACACCCCTGCGCTGTGTCAGGGTAGAGCTGCTGTATTCGCACTCAGATGCATGTCTAGAGGAAGGGGTATTTTCCACATGGGTGTGGTGCTCGGCTCTGCCACCTTTATCAAATCCACAAAGGGTAGGCGCCACAGTTATTCTTCCTGGGGTCCCATCTCAGGTCAGTGGGACCCTCTTCAGGTGGCTCCCAAGTCCTCGTACACGACCCCAGGAGTCCCTGAAACCTGGCTTCTCTCCGTGATGCTCGGCTCCCCACGTTTCCAGCTGCAGACGGTGTTTGGCCGGGACCCCAGGGCTCTCAGTAGGAAGTGAGCGAGTCTTTAAAGCGGGGGCCTAGTTCTGTTTGTGGCAGAGTAGAGCTCCAGGCTGTGGCTCTGGGAGCCACTGTTTCTTCCCACCTCAGTTTCTTCATCTGTAACCAGGGGTGATGTTGGCCAGGCCCTGGGGGGGATTGTCAGGGTTAATGGAAGTAATCACTTGCTAGATGCTTAGAACTGGACTGAGGACGTGAGTTGTCCGTGGGTGTTAGCTGGTTATACTTTCTATAGTTCCCGAAAGTGAGACCTGTCCGAGCCGCACCTCTGCCTCCCACCGCAGGGCTTTCTTTCCTTGAGAGCAGGGCACTGGCCATCTGCAGGAGGCGTGAGGCAAACCCAGGAGCCCCTTCAGCCTCCTGATGTGAGGGCAGCGTCACGTCTGCTGCTTCGACTTTTCTGTTACTACCTTGCAGACGATGGCAGCTCACAGGGAAGTGGGCCAGGAACACTCGTGCCCCACTTGAAGAGAGGCGCCCCTCGGTGGGCTCGTCAGTGGCTCGCCCCTTGTGTCATTGCAGGCTTTATCCTGTGGATAAGAGCAGAGTGAACGAGTTCGGGGAGTCCTACGAGGAGAAGCCCAAGCGGAAACCCCACGCAGACTGAGCACCATCCCCACCTCGGGGGCCACAGGGCACTGCCAGCAGGACAGCATGGAGTGTCACCGAGTGTCTGCGGAAGCTTTGGGAGGACTTTCCTGCACGTTGCATCTTCTGCATTGCCAAAAGCCCTTCAGATGTTTCTTGAGCGTCTCCCAAGTTCCCTTTATGTTGGTTTTGGAAGGAACTGGTGGCACCTGCCCCCCCACACACACACTCACATGTGGACGTCGGTCTCGGTCACAGAGCTACTGGGTGTTGGCGGTCACCTGTCTGGGTGGCAGCTTCCAGCTCAGGGGCGTTCAGTGGGGGTCGGGGGCAGGCTAGTCACTGCAGCATCTCCCCCACCCCCACCCGGCAGATCCCGGGAGCCCTTGAAGGCAGGGAGGGTGTCGGCCTGCATTTCAAGTTGGTTTTTAAGTGTTCCTTACTGAATTTCAAATGCATATGGAAATTCCTTATGGATTCTGGGATCAAATGGCTCTTTTTTCCCTTTTGTTTAAAATTTGATTGTTTTAAAGCTTAATGTACGTATGTTTCTATTTTAAAATAAATTTCTCTGGCTGTGATATTTTTCTTGACGTGGAATAACATGGGAAGTATTTCAGATATTTAAGTGTAGCCCTTTCCCAGAAATCAACACATAACGTGGGTTGATTTGTGCATTAAAGAGCAGATGTACAGAGCATGTCCCAGGCTCTCGAATCGTGAGTGTTCTCAGATACTCAGGTCTCAGTGGTTGAAGACTCATGTGTCATACAGAGCCGTGGCCAGTCAGATTGATCATACTTCTAAGAGAAGGGCCTTGTTTGAGGCAGAGAAAGAAATAGAAGATGTGTTTCAGAGACAGGGAACAGCAAGATTCGGTGGGTAACAGTGTAACCGTGTTCCGTGAAGTACAGAGCCGTGGCCAGTCAGATTGATCATACTTCTAAGAGAAGGTCCTTGTTTGAGGCAGAGAAAGAAATAGAAGGTGTGTTTCAGAGACAGGGAACAGCAAGATTCGGTGGGTAACAGTGTAACCGTGTTCCGTGAAACTGCATTCTTGAGAAACTTCGTGGACTTTTATCAGCACGTGTGTTTCCGGCAATACACCCCCAGCTCGAGCCCCGTGATCCAGAAGGCAGGGGCCTGCCTTTCCATTCAGTGTTCAGTGTTCCCTGTTCCCTGTTTCTGGAGGTGGCTTCTGGTGTTGTCGATGCCAGCAGCGCCATGGCCCCTCCGGAAGCCGCAGCCTCAGGTCCTCCCTCCCAAGGCACGGGGCCCTTTGCGAGGTCTCTAGAGCCTGTTTTCTGAGCAACACGGCGTCCTTCTACTTGTCGGCACTTAAGTAGATGGCACTTAAGCAGATGACACTCGCAGTTCCAGGATGTTAGTTCAAACTGATAACCAGGCCTGGGCACTTGTCAGGGAATCCGCACTCAGTGGTTTGAAGAGAAAGTCTGACTTCAAGTTGTCATTTTTCAGTTTTATTGAGTAAAATGCTAATGCAAATAAATACATGGTGTTACAGACAGTAGCTTAGAGCCACCTGGTCACCTGGGCAAGCGGTCAGCTTCCTCAAATGTGTGCACCTGGTCACCTGGGCGGGAGCTCAACCTCCTCAAACGTGTGCACCTGGTTACCTGGGCAGGTGCTCAGCCTCCTCACACAGGTGTACTTGGTCACCTGGGCGGGGCCAGCTTCACACAGGTGCACCTGGTCACCTGGTGGGGTGGTCACAGGCTGTTTGTGGGAATGTTTAGACATCAGGAAATAAGTTTCAAAGATTTACAGTACCCCTCACATCCACATAGTTAGAACCTTTACCCAAGGTGCACTTAACTATCTTCTTAAGGTCAGGTTACCTGACGGATTCTTTCCTCTTCACACCCACAAGTTTTTTTTTGTTTGTTTGTTTTTTTCGTGACCGGCAAGGGGATCGCAACCCTCGGTGTCACGCCCGCACCGCACTCAACCAGTGAGCGGACCGGTCTCTATATGGGATCCGAACCCTTGGCGGGAGTGCCACCGCACTCCCAAGCGCCGCACTCAACCGAGTGCGCCACCGGGCCGGCCCCACACCCACAAGTTTTAAACATTTTCTTTTGAGGAGAGGAGGCTTGCTTTATAAAATACACGACTGGCTGTGCTCTGCATGATTCGTCTAGCACGTTTTGATACCCCAATAACGAAAGCCACCTATGGGGAAAGGAATACTACCAAAGTTCACCGACGAGCCAGTGGAAGCTACATGTGCCTGGGAGGCTTTGCTGGGGCCAGTCTGCGCATCACGCCATTATGTCCTTTCCTCTGCCTCGTGGGGGACGCACCACAGCGGGCTCAGTGTGTGGCCAGCCTCCACAAAATGACGCTGAGAGGGTATTTTGCTACTCTTTCCTTTTTTGGTTTCAATATCAAAAATAGTTGTTACAAGAACTATTATTTTTGCATCGCACCTGCTCTTTCGTTTCAGCTGGCATGTGTAGGAAGGTGAACGCAGGACCCGAGTTAAGCTGACAGTGGGCCTGTTTTCTAGAAACGCCGTCGAAGATTCCCTGCAAGGCCCAGCACAGGCCGGGCAGCGCTGGCGTCCTCTTCTGTGGGCTGGCTGGTCTATTTTTGAACTCAGAGAATTAATTATTAATGACCCTCCAGTGCCATTTTTTTCCCCAGGTTACAAATAACATTACACAGGGATCAGCTTCTTCTCGAGGCTGTTAAAATCACATTCTTTTTTTAAAGAAATGTTTAATCAAAGTTACAAATAGTTCCTCTTCCAGAAGTTGTAGTCAGGTGTGTTAACAAATTACTCTTCTGAGGTTGCTTGGGCACCTGCCTATCCTTTCTACACATGTAGAGAAGTTGAAGTAAAATCAGAATTCGGAGAGTGAAAACTTGAAAGTCCTTTAAAGCTTCATAACTCAGCATTTAGTCCCAACCCTCTTTTGGACAAATGCTCCTGTTCCTTGGCAGTTTTTTTTTTTTTTTTTTTTTTTTAAAGATGACCAGTAATGGGCCGAGCCCATGGCGCACTCGGGAGAATGCGGTGCTGGGAGCGCAGCAGCACTCTCGCCGCAGGTTCGGATCCAATATAGGGATGACCAGTGCACTCACAGCGCTCACTGGCTGAGCGCCGTGCGGCCGGTCTCAAAAAGGACAAAAAAAAAAAAAAAAGATGACCGGTAAGGGGATCTTAACCCTTGACTTGGTGTTGTCAGCACCACGCTCTCCCAAGTGAGCGAACCAGCCATCCCTGTATGGGATCCGAACCCGTGGCCTTGTTGTTATCAGCACCACACTCTCCCTAGTGAGCCACAGGCCAGCCCTCCTTGGCAGTTTTTAATAATGAAAATGATTGTGTCTTAGCACCACCCTCTGGTATCAGGGGGACCCTGCATGTCCACTGTCCAGCAGTTCATCTGCAATGCCCTTGAACGCTGGTCACTCAGCTCGTTCTGGTGAGGAAGTAGTACCACACTTACAAGTTTTCTCTACGCTTTCATTGACACTTCTTCGTAACATCAAGGCCATGTCGTATGTGATGATTATGAAGTGGACTTGGGGGAAAAAAACATCCAATCAGGTCAATCACAGAATATGTCAAAACCCTTCCAAGGTATTGTCTCCAAATGGATGATTGTGCAAAGGTGGAGACCTAAACATTGAGGAGGACCATGTCACAACACATCACCTAGAATTTCAGCATCCTACCTCAGCTTATAGGTTCCATTCCTGAGCAAAATTGACCCCTACTCCAGAGAGGGTGTGCCCCAACTCAAGAAACGGTGTGCCCCTGCTCCAGGCAGAATGGACCCTACTCGAGGCAGGATGGAGCCTACACTCCAGGAAGAATGGACCCTACTCGAGGCAGGATGGACCCTACACTCCAGGCAGGATGGACCCTACACTCCAGGATGGATGGACCCTACACTCCAGGCAGGATGGACCTTACACTCCAGGATGGATGGACCCTATACTCCAGGCAGGATGGACCCTACACCCCAGGCACGATGGACCCTACATTCCAGGCAGGATGGACCCTACTCCGGGTAGGATGGACCCTACACTCCAGGATGGATGGACCCTATACTCCAGGCAGGATGGACCCTACACCCCAGGCACGATGGACCCTACACTCCAGGCAGGATGGACCCTACACTCCAGGCAGGATGGACCCTACACTCCAGGCAGGATGGACCCTACACTCCAGGCAGGATGGACCCTACACTCCAGGCAGGATGGACCCTACACTCCAGGCAGGATGGACCCTACACTCCAGGCAGGATGGACCCTACACTCCAGGCAGGATGGACCCTACACTCCAGGCAGGATGGACCCTACACTCCAGGCAGGATGGACCCTACACTCCAGGCAGGATGGACCCTACACTCCAGGCAGGATGGACCCTACACTCCAGGCAGGATGGACCCTACACTCCAGGCAGGATGGACCCTACACTCCAGGCAGGATGGACCCTACACTCCAGGCAGGATGGACCCTACACTCCAGGCAGGATGGACCCTACACTCCAGGCAGGATGGACCCTACACTCCAGGCAGGATGGACCCTACACTCCAGGCAGGATGGACCCTACACTCCAGGCAGGATGGACCCTACACTCCAGGCAGGATGGACCCTACACTCCAGGCAGGATGGACCCTACACTCCAGGCAGGATGGACCCTACACTCCAGGCAGGATGGACCCTACACTCCAGGCAGGATGGACCCTACACTCCAGGCAGGATGGACCCTACACTCCAGGCAGGATGGACCCTACACTCCAGGCAGGATGGACCCTACACTCCAGGCAGGATGGACCCTACACTCCAGGCAGGATGGACCCTACACTCCAGGGAGGATGGACCCTACTCCAGGCAGGATGACCCTACACTCCAGGCAGGATGGACCCTACACTCCAGGGAGGATGGACCCTACTCCAGGCAGGATGACCCTACACTCCAGGCAGGATGGACCCTACACTCCAGGAAGGATGGACCCTACACTCCAGGCACGATGGACCCTACATTCCAGGCAGGATGGACCCTGCTCTGGGCAGGATGGACCCTACAGTCCAGGCAGATTGGACCCTACACTCCAGGAAGGATGGACCCTACACTCCAGGAAGGATGGACCCTACATTCCAGGCAGGATGGACCCTGCTCTGGGCAGGATGGACCCTACAGTCCAGGCAGATTGGACCCCACACTCCAGGAAGGATGGACCCTACACTCCAGG